CATCTTCATGCGCCCGCGCGCGCTCCTCATCCGAGAAGACATCCTCTTCGATGAAGTCATCCATCTCATCGTGGATGGCTCTCCTGCGGTCGGACGGCCTGCCATAGTCGGCTTCTTCCTCTTCATCGGACTTGAACATGTCATCGATGCCCTGGGAAGCCTGACGGTCGGCGTCGCCCTTGTGGCCTCTCTTCAAGCGTTTGAACTTGGACTGCGGTAAGAGAGGGAGGGTTAGTCACGTTCTATCGGCTCCCCAACCACAGATGGAGAAGAGCCTTACCTCAGTGCCGGTGGGAGGCTGAAAGTCGGGATTGTGTTCCCCGATCAGGTACAGATCTTCCTCGTCGAGGGCCTCATCTTCGCGCTCGCGCTCTTCTCTTCGACGTTTCTTCCTCTCTCGACGTCGCTGTTCGCGCTCCTCGAGCTCTTCTTCATCTTCGTCGACGATGAAGCCTTCGCGGATCTACCGCCGTGTCAGCAGACAGGAACGACACTGGATTGGCGCATTGGAACGCTGGTCGAAGGGCGCTGTCTTACCTCTCGAGCAGCCTCCTCGTCGTCATCCAAGTCCTCATCCTCCTCACTTGAGTCGTCGTAGGCACCAGCGGCGACGCCGGTCTCATCCTCGTTGACCTCACCGGTCTCCTCGTCGTACTCGACGTCGTTCTCCTCGTCCAGCAAGGCCTCGCCTTCAACCAGCTCGTTGGCGCTCATGATGCCGGTTGTCTTCTCCGTCTGTTCTGCTCCGTTCCCCGAAAGTAAAACAATGGATGGGCACCAGAACAACCTGGAGACGCGCAGCCAGGTCGACAGGACTGTTCCGGTCAGCGATGGTGAGAGATGAAAGGAAGGCTGGGTGAGAGCAAGCAGCTCTGGCGAGTGCTCGACTTGCTCACTTGTAGTCTTGCCTTCGGAACAAAAAAGGCGCGACGCGCGTGGCGGGTGCCCTAGTCCCAAGTTGGGTTAGCGGTGGCTGGGGCTGATGAGGTGTGGCTGGTAATCCTTACTGCTCACGTGAGTCATCCACACTGATTGGTCTAACGAAACGCAGTGGGTCCCGGGCGGCCATTCTGCGGTGAATGGCGGTCACGTGCGCGTCTTTTCTTTTCGTCTGGGCCAATCATAATTGCGTTCATTCACTGTGCTGTCTTCGCAGCGTCTTTTTCTTTGTTTGCCTTGAATTGACAGCGACCCACTCCCCCAGAGGAACCAGGCTTTTTCAGAGGAGCCAAAATACTGGTAGAGAGCAGAATAATAGTTAATTAGAGTGCAGTACAAGAATAGCAGCAGGCAGTGACTGAGCCGTATCGTAGAGTCGAGTCCACAGTCACTGTTCTATTCGTACTAGATTGCCATTGCTGCAGCCTGGGACTGTCTATTGTGCTGGTGTCTGCGACAAATGGGTCCTCAGCTTCTTATTTGCAGCAAACCGTCGTTCTTGCACGAGAACCCTGGCGACGGCGTCCAGGTACCGGTACCTCGCTGCGGCGGGAAAAGGCTGTGGGCGCGGCGTACCGGTACCTCTGCGTTCCCCACTGCCGGCCGCTGTCACTGCCATGGTTTCAGCCGGCGACATTGGGATCAGACTCCAACCCAACTCTCCCCGTCCACCTCTCCAGAGCCACCCTTCGCGCGTCCCTACAACGCACAGCGGCTGAGTTGTTCGTGTGCAGCCTGCTGGTCTCCCAGGCGAATAGCCATCGCTATCCCACGCGCCGCCGTCTGTTTGGCGCGTCCAGGTCGCCGCCCCCAGCGCTCTGATTGGCCCCGCTGCGGTCGTCTGGCTGCCAGCGCCTCCAACACTCCCCTCTCGACTCTGCAGCTCCCCTCCGTTCGCTGGAGGGACCACCGCTCCATCCTGCCAGCAGACTGATCGCTGTTGGCGTGCTCTGGGCGGTTAGATTGCCTGAACTCGCTCCTCCAGCGACCTTGTTTGGTGCCAGGTACCGGTCGCATCGCCAGATACCCTTTGACCCCAACCCCAAAAAGCCCACGCGTCCCTCGACGAGAGACCACCGACTCCAACCGATCGGACGACCTGCTATAAACTGCTGCCTCTCTCCCAAGCCTCCAGTCTTTCCATATTTGCTTACTGCACCTTTATCTGCTTGCCTCCGCAGTGTCGTCGATCTTCTCCCGGCTGAGTGGCCTGCTGTAGCACGGCCATGGCGGAGCAATTTAAGGCCAAGACGCTGAAACGCAAGAATGTGAAAGGTCTTGCCCTCAATGCCACCCCTAAGACTGTCTCCAAGTCCTCGGACGGCAACGGTCAGCTCGAAAATGCCGACAGGAATCGAACGGATACGCTGGAAATCGGGCTCGAGTTCAAGCTCGACCTGCGCAGTGAGGACCTGATCACGCTGAAGGAGATCGGTGCGGGCAATGGCGGCACCGTCTCCAAGGTCATGCATGCCACGACCAAGGTGATCATGGCTCGAAAGGTACAGTGGCACGCCGTTCTTTGATAAACAACCCATTGGCGCTGATGCGGGTCTTTGCTTCGGTACAGATTATCCGGGTCGACGCCAAGGAGAATGTGCGAAAGCAGATCTTGCGAGAACTCCAAGTGGGACATGAATGCAATTCGCCGTACATCGTCACTTTCTACGGTGCTTTCCAGAATGAGTCACGAGACATCGTCCTCTGCATGGAATACATGGATTGCGGGTACGTCGATGAGAGATCACGTCGGTCGGAATGCTGACTGACTGAAATGCGGCAGCTCGCTCGACCGGATCTCCAAGGAGTTTGGTCCGATTCGGGTTGATGTGCTGGGCAAGATCACCGAATCGATCCTGGCAGGACTGTGCTACCTGTATGAGAACCACCGGATCATGCACCGCGATATCAAGCCCTCCAATGTCCTGGTCAACTCTCGCGGCAATATCAAGCTGTGTGATTTCGGAGTTGCGACGGAAACTGTCAACTCGCTCGCGGATACCTTTGTCGGCACCTCGACCTACATGGCCCCGGAGCGGATCCAGGGCGGCGCTTACACGGTTCGGTCGGACGTTTGGAGTGTTGGGTTGACCGTGATGGAGCTGGCTGTTGGCCGATTCCCCTTTGATACGAGCGATTCATCTGCAGGGGATCGAGCCAGTGCCGGCCCCATGGGGATCCTCGATCTGCTCCAGCAGATTGTGCACGAACCCGCGCCGAAGCTCCCCAAGAGCGACGCGTTTCCACCCATCCTGCATGAGTTTGTGGCCAAGTGCCTGCTCAAAAAGCCCGAGGAACGACCCACCCCTCGTGAGCTCTATGTAAGGATGACAGATGCGGAGTGAAGGTCTGCTGCTGACAGTGTTCTCAGGACAAAGATGCATTCCTGCAGGCCGCCAAACGGACCCCGGTTGATCTGCAAGAGTGGGCTATCAGCATGATGCGGGCCCAGCATCGTCGGTCGTATCTCGCTCCGCCGGCGCCGCAGTCGCTTAACCGGGACGGTAGCAGAGCTACAAGTTCGTCGCGGTCCTCGCATTCGCAGAATGTCGCGCCCCATGAGACGCCAACGTCGGGCGAAATCCCGCTGAATATCTCCAGCGAAATCTCTTCGCATGGACACTACTCAACATCGGGGGGCACGACAACGCCGCGCAACAGCACCCCGAGACACGCGCCCGAACCGCCCTTGCCGCCCCTTGAACATCTGTCGTTGGAAACAAAGGACATGAACGGTGAAGGTCGTCGGCCTTCGCGGTCGTACGCCGCTGATCCTCACTCTGCGGTGGACGCCGCGCCGCAGCCCTACTTGCCGCGCGTGTCGGGCTCTTCTACGAGGGCGGGCCTGCAGACTGGCACTCTGCCCCCGGGAGCACCGCCGACAGGGCCATTGCCTACGCCACCAGCTGAGTCGCGGCGAAGTCATCCGAGAGCATGAAAGTATCAATTGTCATTTGATTGACGAATGCTAGAGCATCCTTGGAGTGTCGTGCTAATCATACTCTGACGGACGTACAGTATGTGGGCGAGTTTGCACTCGATCTGCTTGATATCCATTGTCTTGTCAACTATGATCTACACGCAGTCGAAATTGTCCAGTTGTCAACTACGGTCTGGTCTATACGCAGTCGAAACAGTCAGAGGACACGCTCTTTTTCTTTCCTTGCCGTGTTTCTGTCTCGAATGGACTGGCTGCACGAGATGAGATGTCTTTGCAAGATGTTGTCCTAGCATGCATTCTTCTTTCCTGATTGACGATCAATCGATTTCTGCATCATACGGCGTCTTTTGCAGTCGATCTATCGCTGTTCTTTTCCTTTTTCATCTTGTCCTGATATCGCCATCCTGAGAACATCTTTCTCTTGTCTATTCCCTTGTGTCATCATTCGATCCATCTGTACTTTAGCTTTTTTTTTTCTTTTCGTTTTTCGTTTGATATCCTGATCATTGTCTTCTTGTTTCTTGTTTCTTGTCCCTTGGATGTTCTTGCCTTGGATATTCTTATTAGACAAGACAATTGAAATGAATGAAAATGAAGTGCGTACGGAGTAACTCGGTGTGACGGCGGAGATGGCATGAAGTGCCGTGGCTTAGTCAGTTTGCCTATATACAGTACAGTACTCAGAGTGACTGATGCCTAGTCCACTCAAAAGTCATCCTCGCATGAATCCAAAGTCCATTGAAACTTCATTCCATCAACTATGGCGCCTCGACAGAAATCCCAAAAGAGGGCGGCGATCCAGCGGAAAAGGAAAATCCAGTAGTTGTGCGATATAATCAAAGACTACTACGATGGCAGCAAAAAAAATACATTGCACAACAGCAGCTTCCTGGAGACACTCCCCATTGTTCAGGTGGAGCAATTCTCGACGACTGATGAGAATCATCAGAACCAGACATTTCGAGCAGCCTTGTTTCTTTCTTCGATCCTCTCTATAACCCGCAGAAAAAAGATCTGATGACGAAATACCTAATTGATCGTGGGCCACCACTTAAGTAAGTACCTTGAGGAGGAGCCCTATTATTCCTATTCCTATTTTCGACCCGGAGGAGCCTGAGTCTGACAGGTCTGGTTTGTCCGCGCCAGCAAGCCTAATAATTATGTTGACGCCATATTTAACGACCTACCTAGACTGGTGTATGTACATATGTTTGGTGCTCCTAGACTGGGGATGCCTGATGATGATGATGATGCAGTTGGACTTGACGATCTAATAGGTAATCTCTTATTCTCATGTTATATTTATTATTTATAGTTACTGACAGTGATATATAGCCTGCCGAACCATCTTTACGGAGACGTCTAGTGCTCACGCAAGGTAGCATCGATGGTAGCGACTATGTCTCACGATTGATTTATGAACAGGATGACAACCATTTCTTTTTTTTTTCCCTCATGTTGTGGTTTTCACAAGTCATTATATGCTTAGAGACGAGAGACCACTACTACTACTGCAAGGGGAGTTGGCTGCCATAATTAGATTGATCGATAGACGAATGAACCAGGAAACGAAGGTCAAGGTCAAGGTCTCGAAGCCTGCCTTATTTCTCCTGTAAGTCAAGTTCCGATAATGTCATTTATACAGTCGTACTGAAACTACCGAATTATACCTTGCTGACTCCAAAGCAAAAAAAAAATGCAGATTTTGATGCTGTCATTTATGGAGCCTCACCATGGACGTCTCCTGCACGCTCACTTTGATGGATCGAAACTAATTGTTCGCCGTACACCCCTTTACTGCATAGAACCACATGATCTCGATCTCGATCTCTTGAGTTGAGGTTCTTTGTCCGCTACGCTACGGGGTGAGCAAGCAAATCTGTCGGAGGAACATGTTCCAACTAGTGGCAATAGTCATTTACTTACGCCTCTGATTTGAAAAAAAAAAGTTTAATTTGCATATTTTGCTGGGTCTAATTTAAATACCTTCTGCTACTTTCTAATTTTTTTTATAGTGAGCTTTTTTTTCGTTTTGTTTTTGCCCCTTTTTTTTTTCCATCACTTATTAATAATAGTTTACAAGAGAATCCTATAGAAGAAGAGGACAAAATGGAATTTCGTTGGAATGTTAGTTAGATTTGCTGGAGACGAAGTTACTATGAATTTTTTTTTAAAAAAAAACCGGGTGAAACGGAAAAGGGAAAAAAAAACTAAGCATTTAATTTAGGTCTATATATAAGCAGTAAGAATTAATTCCGAATCCAGTCCCGTCTGAAGAAGGTATATATAGATAGGAACGAATGATTCGTAGTTCGAGATTCGTAGATTTCGTTTTTCTAATAATCCCTGTTTTTTTTTTTCAAACACCATTATCTATCTATCATCTTGGAATGCATCAAAATCAATTAATTAAACAATCCACCCTTACTTACTCTATATAGCTCTGAAACAAAACACCCCAGCATATATACCCCTCTCTCAAGAAACCACCTCCGATCTATCTCTCTCTCCCCCAGCCCTTGACGACGGAAACTTTTTCCCTATTCTCACCATAACATAGAGCGGGTAATACTCAGTTTATAATTATTATGGACAGACCTAGATTCCTTTAACCGATCGAGCGAAGCGAGTCTCTTCACTATTGTACTGTATACACATAAGGTTTGTTATACAGTGCGATACAGTATAATAAAATCCAGAGCAGCTTAATAAATACTGAAATAAGAAACTAACTGACAGACGAACATAAATACTCATAACTAGTTATATCCATGTCCTCCCTACACTTCAATCCTCTACATCTATGTACAGTACATTGTCAGCATACTTGACAGTGACATATTTCCTTTCGTTTCATTGCATTTTTTAATTTAATTTAATTATCTATCCAACATACAGTCCCTAATCCTATATGATATAAACCTAGACTAATATATATATTCCAGCTAATCAATCTCTCAACTATAGAAACTCCTCTCCGCCGCCTCACAGAACAACGTAATCGCCCTCTTCCCAGCCTCTAGAACACCATCCATCGCCAGGAACGGATGAGGCATGCCCTCCATGACGTGCAGCTCGACCGGCACCCCGGCCTTTTGCAGCTTCTCGGCGTACTGCTCCCCTTCGGAGCGGAGGACGTCCAACTCGCCGACGATGATCGTTGCGGGGGGCAGTTTGCTCCAGTCATCGTCGTAGAGCAATGGACTGGCTTCTGGGTTCGCCCACTGGCTCTTGTCGGGTAGGAAGTGGTTTCGGTACCAGAGCATCTTTGGCGCTGGGAGCGCGGGCGTGTGCTGGAATTCCCGCCATGACCAGTTGTTGCTTACGTCGGCGGTGTTGTCTGTCACGGGGACGACGAGGACTTGCTTCACGAAGCGGATATGCGACTGCAGCGCTTTGTGTGTCATCACGGCCGCCAGGTTGCCGCCTGCTGAGGAGCCGCCGACGGCGAGTTTGGTCGTGTTAATTTCTAGTCGTGATGCGGTGTCGGGTGAGATGAGCCACAGGAGCGCTTCCCAGCTGTCGTGGACGGCGGCGGGGAAGGGGTGTTCGGGAGCGAGTCTAGACACCAAACACATAGTTCGTCAGTTCATTTCTAGATTCTAGCTTTGCTCATAGTAGTGTCGTACCTATAATCAACCGTCACAACAACACACTTCGCCCGCTGGCACACATGGCTGCACACCGTGTTCTCGGTGTTGATATTCCCCAGCACCCATCCCCCGCCGTGGAAGTACAGAAACACCGGCCAGCCGCCTTCAGGCTTGTCGCCCTTGGGCGTAAACACCCGCACCGGAACATCAGGCCCCTCCGTTTCTTGTCTCTTGATGCTGATGTCCTCCGTCTTGCCGACCTCGAGGACCGGCCCGCCGCCGGGGATCAGGATCCCGCTGGTCCGCGATGCGGCGACGGGCTGGTAGTGCACTTGCTGCTGGTTGATAATGTACTTGTTGTAGAAGGCGACGTATTCCGGGTGTAGCCTGTCCCGGACGGATTCGTGCAGGGGGTATGGGGGCTGCGGGACGTCCTCTGCGGTCGACATGATGAGATGAATTTAAAAAATAAATAGGATATATATATGCTCTGCTATATTATGGTATGCAATGCAGTGTAAATGACTATAGTATATGTATTTGCTGGTTGGGGCTGTCAATCGAACGTCGGAGTCAGTCCTAGGACAGCCGCAGAACAGGGGGAAATAACAATATAAAGCGAACCAACGCAGGCACATGCGAGCCATATCTCCGACGCTCTTTTAACACATTCTGGCCGCTGCATCATACGACTGCCCTCGCCGTCTCGCACGACAGTCGGCATCTCGCGCGCCCCACCTCTTGCGCGGGATGGCAGAGCCAGTGCGGGGTGCCAGGCCAAGAGATAACCTAATAGTCGCTAGGTAGGACCGAGTCTCCTGATAATGGAACTTCGATGACTAACGCGGGGCAATGCCCCCTCGACGCCGGAATCGAGATCCATTCTGCGGGCGGGGAACCATCGCGCAGATTGGAGTGGATGGAGCCTGCCAGGACCAGCCCCATCGCGACGTGGGATGAGGCCGACCACGTCGCATTGAGCACAGTCATTGGCCCAGAGCTGTACTGCAGAGAGGGGTAGATAAACGTATATCCAGGCAGAGACTGCCGCATCTCTTGTCCAAAGCTGTCTGGATACCACTTCTCGTCGTTTCTCTCCCTCCAGCCAGAAACTGAATCGCTGCCAACATGTCTGTCAAAACCCCTGTCTTCACTGAGAAGGCCCCCAAGCCGTTGCCCGGCATCTACTCGCAGGCCATCATCGCCAACGGCGTCGTGTACTGCTCTGGAGCAGTTGCGATTGACCCCGAGACGGGGAAGCTGATTGATGGCGACATCAAAGCCCACACGGTCAGTTGAAAGGAATTGTTGCAATCCAGTATGTGAAATGCCTAACTGACAATACGCAGCACCAATGCATCAAGAACCTGTCGAATGTCCTCGAAGCTGCGGGCACCAGCCTCGACAAGGTCGTCAAAGTGAACGTCTTCCTGGCCAACATGGACGATTTCGCCGAGATGAACTCCGTCTACACGCAGTACTGGGGTGAAGTCAAGCCATGCCGAACGTATGTGCCGCTGATCAGGAGAACTGACACATAACAAATGACTGACTGACATGACTGATTCCAGCTGCGTCGCCGTGAAGACCTTGCCCCTCAACACGGATGTCGAGATCGAGTGCGTGGCGGTGCTGTAAAGTGGGTTCAGAGGGAAAGAAAAAAAGATTGGTAGTTATACATAGATGTTATGACCAAAATTGATGCATCAGAAATAGACGCATATTTTCATGTTGCAATCAACCTTCCAAGTGTCTCGTAGGCTTCCTGGAGCAACTCCCATCGACACCCTTCCAGGGTTTCCCGCACAGCTTGCAGTAGCTCTCTCGTCTGCTGTGCTGCGCTGCCAATCTCCTCAGAGTCGTTCCGCAGCAGCATCAGCATGCGCACAAGATACTCTTCCGCGCTACTCGACGGGCGCCTCTCTGGGGGGAACCCTCTTTCCCGTGCCATAAACCCGTATGCCCACAGAATGAGTGCTGCGTGATACAGAGACCACGGCCGTAACGCGATATTGTCGGTGCACGCCCGATACTGTTGTCCCGTGAAGATGATCTCCTGGATGAGTAGCAGACAGTGGTAGAGAGCCTTCTTCGACTCTTGCTTATCGCTCCACGCGCGTACCCGGGCTGTGGCTCTCAATCGGTCATTCGCCGACAGCAGAGTGCCCAACAGAGACGGAGCCCCGGCGAGAATGTGGATGTCGGTGATATCGGTGTAAATGGCCACATATGCCATCCGATAAAGAGGTTTGGACGCCTCCAGTGCCAGAGAGGAGCTTCGCGAGACCAGAGAAAATGACCACGTGTCCATCGCCCTCTCCAGCGTATCCTTCCAGGTGTCGATCGGACCCATCCGGGGCGAACTCGCCGACGACATGCGTCCGACGCCGAGGGTAGCCAAATCTCTTGCCTTCATATGGGCTGTCACGCTAAACAACCCATGCAGCAGGATTAGCCGCGCATACGCGCTGCAGTGAGGCGGAATCGGAGTGCGCCCCAAAAGCCTTTTCAAGACGGGAAGGAAGCCAGGAGACTCTGGAGTTTTGCGCATCAATCGACTCCATTCTTCTACATTGTCACACTCCCACAGACTGTCTGCGCACGGCAATGGCAGACGCACATCGTGTACCGACAGAATGCAGGTGTGTCCGAACATGAAGCTGTGCTGCGCATCCATGACAAAGCCGAAGAAGGCAGTGCGATTCGAGGACTGGGTTTCGATCCATTGATGCCATGATTGTTCCAGGGGCGTCAATTCCCGATTAGACGATGCACTTTGTACCGACGAGTATGCCACTCCTCGCTTCATGAGCTGTGTAGCATCAGTCAGTATCACCATGCAAAACTAATGGGTGGTCCTCTTACAGTTATGATGGCGCCGTGAAATATATGTGCCAATTGATGGTGTTTTCTGGTCGAAAACATTTTCTCGTGTGCCTGTATTAGAAGCAGCGTCTGGACACACCAGAGCGAGGCAGGGGGCTCAAAATCTCCGGTCTGTAGTGATCAGAAACTGCGATTCTTTCAATTTTAAAGAATGGAACTCACATTAAAGATAATATAGCGAAGAGAGTCGTGGATCTTGATGGATGTCTCAAAGTGAGCGGCATCGCTTGACAGGGTCGATCCCAGCGTCACGATGGCGGCAATGAGTAGAGGAGGGGCCTTCATCGGGTCCAGAGTCGGCTTATGTAGAATAGGGAAATGAGGATGGTAGTTTTCAAAATAGAGATCGTAGAAATGGGCCAGATTGGAGGGATAGAAGAACGAGGACATGAGAATGTCAGGGGCCAGGGTGTTCAACGCCGTCAGCAGGTTCGCTCGAACAGCAACCCAGGGAGAGGAGGACGATGAGTGAGAGGAAGCTGGGGAGCGAATGTGAGGAGATTGCATGGGGAAGGATGGCGGCGAGATGCCTGCCGCCGATGCACTGCTCTGTGGGGATACCACGGGGAGACCCCCGTTGGCGGAGTTGAAATCGGCTGAGATGTTGTCAAAGAGCCATTCAAAGTCCAGAGAAGGATCTGGGATGTTGAAAGATGGATCAAAGAAGAGAGAGGCGACATGATCATCCGTCAGGGGGTTGATCATGTCGTTGCGAAAGTCCATTGGCACCATGGCTTGCTGGTCATGACTGACGGGATGGTCACCTTTATCGGCGGTGTCATCATCCGCGTCGTCATGGCTCTTCTCGCTGGATGCCGTTGGGACGCCTCGCACGTCGTCATTCTCGACGGTAAACATTGCAGCAGGCTCCCGGACTGAGCGTTGGGGAGGATCTGGGGAGGCATCCTGCATGGGCGATGGGCCCGTGTAGCCCCCCGAGTTGCGGAACCACATGCCCTTCTCATGTCGCTTCTCATGTCTCCGCAGCAGGTCCTTGCGGACAAAGCGCTTGGGACATGAGGGGCATTGGTAGATCTGCTTGGGACGGTCTGTACGAGGGTCAACATGTCTGCTAGCCAATGGGTACATGCATATGGACTTACGGTTCAGACGATGTCGAGACAGGTGTTCTGGTCGAAGGAAGGACTTCCCGCAGCCAGGCTCGGTGCATGGATATTCCTTTGGCATGGGGATGGCTCTACAATCGACTGCTGTGCGGGGAGATCGATGCTGATCGTCTCTAATCGCCATCTCCGGGGAAGCTCGAGGTCTCGCTTATGTAATCGCCTCGGCAAAGCAGCCGAACCCTTATCAGCAACCTTCCTGAACGGGAAAGCAAGAGCATTTTGTCGAGAGAAGTCTGTTTCGTACTGTACACGGATTACTTCTGCCAAATGAAACTGTTGCAAGGATTCTGGCCGGTAGTCGCCGGCTGGTTTTCTTTGTTTTCAAATCAGACTTAGTCAGGTCTGGCCATTGCTTCACTTCACTCTCATGTCAGGTAGTCACCTTCCCAGAGACAGAACTGGATTCAATCTCAGCTTCCTTCCTTCATTCGTCTCATTACCTACTACCTTATTCTTGTTGACAACCATTTGGATACAGAGAGGAGGCAAAGATGGTCATCATTGAGATCGATCCTAAAGGAGATGTGATCCTGGAAGTTGGCGAATCCAAAATGCGTCTGCTCGTGGCATCCAACGTTCTCTCTTTAGCCTCACCTGTTTTCGAGGTGATCCCAATTCAAGGAGGGGATCCAGATGAAATCACAGAAACCATCTACCATCCCTCTGCCAGAAGACGATGCGGAAGCATTCCTTGTCTTTTTCAATGTTATTCATCATCGATCCCATGAGATCCCACGAAGCCAAAGCCCACAATGCCTAGAAAATCTGGCCCTGATCTGTGACAAGTACCAGTGTGCCGGCTCTATGACCGGCTACGGCGCCTTATGGCTTAGTCGCGACCTGAAGAGTATCCCAGTTGACGATCTCTGCCGCCTCTTGCTATTGGCATACGTCGTGGATCTCCCAGACTACTTCTCATCCATATCGCGGGAGATTCTGTTTGTGCAGGAGGGTTCGTTCATTAGCCTTCCAGTATTGACCAACTGTCCATTTCTTCATCATGACCTCCTCGGTAAGTAAGAGGATATAACATTTTAAAGATCTCCACAGCTGATCACCAGCAGTGGAATTTAACACTCGGAGAATGATAATGATTCAACACCTTCAGAAAGCCATCATGAGTTCAGTTTCTAAACTGACCGAGTTCCGCTGCGATGCTGTCGTTAACGCCATAGGAACGTACCTTTGTGATCTTAGGCGTGCTGGAATGTCACCCTATGATGACTTGCTTGACGGGAGAAGTTTTCTGAAAATTATGCATGGGACTTTATACATGCCGGACCACCGATTCAAAGAGTGTCATACAGGGTCGTGTGCGTGCTTGGAATTAGAAGGCATGAGTTTGAAGAGAGAGCTGGAATCCGAAATCAACAACTTCAAAGAAAAGAAGCTAGGTCTTTGCCTCGACTGTGTGAAGACGGCAGGGAAATCAAAGAAGGAAGAAAAATGCCAAGAATACCATTTCTACTAGATTAGCTCGTCATGCGCCTGTTTATGCACAGCTAATCTACGTATCCTCTTACGATTCTGCGATGATCACAAGACCATGTACTTACTTCAAATTTCATTGAGCAAGCAGAATTAAGATCGATCGCGAATACGGATTACTTGCAATAATCGGATTTCAAACCCTTAAAAATGATTTGAAATAAGAGAACACGACATGACTTGGAATATTGACCTATTACTCAATCACTCGAATGAATTCATATAATAATACACCCAGAAACCAGATAACACGCCTGAATGGTGCAGGCCAGACCTTCAGCCTATCTCAGCACGCTTCATACAAAGCAATTGCATCACGATTCTGCGCCTCCAGATCGACATCGTTCAGATACGAGCCCTTCTCCGTCAGATATCTGGTCATTTTCTCCGGATCAACGCCCACCTCATCCAGGGAATATGAGTACAGGCGACCAAAATTCCGACTGATCTCGACTACTCGTTGCGACCGCTCTCTTCTCACAGCGTCAAAAGCAGCGAATGCTTTCGCGATCTGGCTGGGATCGGTGACTCTTGAGAAGAGCGCTTTCAGGACGGCCGCGTCCTCGATGGCTTGGCCGGCGCCGTTACCGGCGAATGGCATTGTCGCGTGCGCTGCGTCCCCGATCATGGCGATGTTGTTCTTGTAGTAGTACGGCTCTGGGTCGTGGTCCTGCAGGGTCCAGTGTGCACTGGGATCGCGACTGACGAGCTGGAAGAAGTCAGTATCACTGTATCTTCAGGTGAATTCTGGCCCTTGGACGATTCCTACCTCAACAATAGCCCGGGAGTCATCATTGTAAGCCGCAAAATATTCCTTTTTAAAAGGCCTATCCGTCTGGTCACTGCCTGCGGTACGTCGATGGACTCCACAGCTCAGAGTCTGACCACGATAAATAGGCAGAGACACAACATATCCACCTGGGCCGCAGAAAATAGGAACATTCTTGGTCCATTCGTCCCGGACGACCTGACAGGCCTCGTCCATGGGACCTGTCGGGAGTAGGTGACCCAGCCGTCGTGGTTTTTGAGCGCTGTGGCCGGATGGTCTGCTCCAAGAAGATATTTCCTCGTGCAGCTGTGCACGCCGTCTGCGCCGATCAGACATTCGGCGACGGCCGTAGTGCCGTCTTGGAATCGCAGCTCGATTTTCGTTCCTTGTTCTTCAATGTCAACCAGCTTCTTCCCGAAATGGATCCTCTCCGACGGAATCTCGCGCCAGCCGTGCAGGAGATCGGCCCTCGCAATCGTTCTCCTGCCTTTGGCTCGTCCAAGGTGTCCGACGACCTGGCCGCTGTCAGGCCCAGCAGCGAGGATGACCTGAGTCGCTAGCTCTAGCTCCTCGTCACTCGCGAGGAGAATGGCGCGAGAGAAGTACGCCTTCTTCAAGTCTGGGTCGACCAGCTCCATCGCCAAGATGGCGTTCTTGTGAAGAGCCATTCCCCCGCCGCGATCTGGATACTCTGTGACCGCTTCGTAGATGTGGACGTCGAACTGGGAGTGTTTGATCAAGCCCGCAGCGAGAGACAGGCTCGCGATGCCGCCCCCGGCGATGGCAACGGTGATTTTGGACATGGTGAAAGGGTTGTTAAGACCGCAACGACCTGTTTAGTTCATCAAGTTCGGAATCAGAGACGATTTGATCAATCTAGAGGCATGCGAGTCATAGAAACAGCACAACCAGCCTGATCGAGTCGAGATGATGCCTTACGAATCAGCGTGCCAACATCTCTTCCTCCGCGTCCTGTAACTGGCTGTTTTCTCGTCAGCTGTCACGGCCACGCATTACCTCGACTAGAGTCATCGCTGCAACCAAGCATTCGTCCACGTAGATCACAGACGTTGGCCTGCTGGTATCAGCGGGGCATAACCCGCCAGGTTTGCTCATTTGGCGCTTATATGCACTGATCATCATCGAGTACATATCTTATTTTACCGTAGCCAATAGGTTTGTGTCAATCTTATCTTATCTGCTGTGCCTGACTCAGGAGAAAAGACGTGCCAAGATACGCACTTCTCCCTGGTCTGCAACTGTCGTCTGTCGTCCCCCACTATTTACTACTCCTTGCCCCGGACAGAGTCCATCAGAGGAGGATTCTCGCTGTAAGAAGCCAGAGTAGGACTATTACAGGATTTTATAAACGTTTAGCTCACAACCTCTTACTCAGTATCTTAGCTAGGTGATGATCTAGAATTGGAAGTCCTCTTTTTTGGAGATAAAAGAAATGGACAGATTGGTGGACAAGTATATAATAATGCTCCGATGCCAAAAGGTACCGCTAGATTAGGCACCTACAACACGGTGTGTAGACTGTAAATTGCGCCATTTTCGAAGAAACAGTAGCTATTCCGTCCTATACTACCATTACTATCACACCTTTAACGACCAGTGGTTCTAAGTCTCTATCTCGGAGAAACAGGCCAGATGAGCTAGTCTCCATTCCTCTTTCCTATCCAGCAGTTTAATTATAATTACTGTCATCCTCGCAATCGCCATATTCTATCCCCCGCATTTCCATCCACTCCAACATCTACTCCTCGGCTATCATCACAACCACGCTTCATGTGAAATTCCAGAACTTACCATTCCATCCTAATACTATTCACGCCCGTGTCCAGACTCCTCCACAAAACCATCCGATGGCACGTCAGTATACCACCTTTACGACCCAACGTGGCCAAATCGGGCAATCCCACCGAGCCCTACTCTCCACACCCCGCATTTTTGCTCCGCACTACGCAACGCCACAACGGTCGAGCTAAGACATCCTGACATGTGAAGTTTTCCGTTTCGATATACAGTCTGGCATGAAAATCTCCGATGCTCCGAGGTCATAGGATCGATTCACGGAGTTATTCTATTCTATAGAATGGAATAGCTAAGGAGGAGGGGTGGACTTTACGTGTATTTAAAGGGGTGTATTATGCTGCTCTTCAGTACTGTTGGTAGACAAGCTATTGTATATACAGTTTAATATATACATATTGGAATATACATCTCTGAATATATATCATCATGAAGCTTCCCATCTGGTCTTTGCTATCCATCTCCGCCCTCACAGCGGCAGCTCCCTTGGCTCGCCGCGACACATCCCTGAACGAATTCCTCAGCATCCTCCTCGACCATCTCCCAGCCATCAACGGCACCATCAACGATGTCGTAGGCGCCCTGACAGACTTTGAGCAGGAAATCGCCGACCTGACCGGCGACCAAACGACGTACAACGAGCTCGGGGGCGCATGCACCGAGTACACCATCATCTTCGCCCGCGGGACGAGCGAGCCCGGTAACGTCGGCATCCTCGTCGGCCCGCCGCTGTTTGACGCCCTGGAGAGTCTGGTCGGGAGTTCGGCGCTGACGATCCAGGGCGTGAACGACTATGCGGCCAGTGTGCAGGGATATTTGGAGGGGGGCGATCCAGCTGGGAGTGCGGAGATGTAGGCAGAAACACCGCTTGCAGAGAACGATCGATTGGTCTGACAGTGTCATCAGGGCAAACCAGATCCAGCAGGCATACTCGGCCTGTCCGAACACAAAGCTCATCGCCTCGGGGTACTCGCAGGGCTGTCAGGTCGTGCATAATGCCATCTCTCAGCTTCCCGCCGAAACGGCATCGTGGATCAGCAGCGTTCTCCTGTTTGGCGATCCAGGTAGGCCGATATCATATCATCCATCCTCCGACGTGCTGACAATAGCAGACGATGGTCAAGCCATTCCAAACGTCGACTCGTCCAAAGTCGACACCTACTGCCACGAGGGCGACGACATTTGCCAGGATGGACTTTTGATCCTCCCTGCGCATCTGACGTACGCGGAGGATGTGTCCAGTGCGGCGCAGTTTGCAGTTGCGGCGGCTTCTTAAAAAGATATATAGGGGGTATGTCGAAAAAAAAAAGTGAAAAGAGAAGAAGATTGGATATACCAGTTCTATACGCCGAACATTCTATGACTTGACAGGAAACTTGAATGACTTTGCCTAGCTAGTCTATATATACGAATGCTATCTCGTTGACTGTCGTTGACACATGCAGGATTACAGTCTTGACTCAATTCTCATCACTCATAAATAATTGACCTCATTCGGATTTAGAATTGAGTAAATGACTGCTACTAATCCTTGCCCTGTGTGACGTATCCACCAGGTATAGTTCGACAGGGGGTATTAATGCATATTCTGTCTCTCCCTCTGCTTTGCAAGTAATTTTTTTTAAAAAAAAAAGAAAAAAGCTTTGCAAAACTCCCTCCCTCTGTCTGTCCCTGAATAAAGACCTCCCTAAATTTATCTATATAACTAATTCACAAACCAAAATATTCATAATGTATAACTACAAGATATTTTTTTTCTTTCCTGCAAAAAAAATACAAAAAAGAAAACGAGAACGAGAGAGAGAACGAGAGAGAGAACGAGAGAGAGAATGAGAGAGAGAGAAGACCGAAAAAAATTACTCGAGTCAGTACGATCAACAAACCAGGCTTCTCTGACAGAAAATACTACTTAGCTACTCTCCCAGAACCAGGGCCAGGGTTAGGGTTAATTAATGATTAGGATAGGATAGGATAGGATGGGATAGATCGTTCGCTACCTATTACCTATCTTTAAGCTGAAGTAGAACGATGTAGTATGGATAGTGCACGTACTGTACTGTACTGTAAATGATGCAGTTACTAACGGAAAGATCTTCTCGAATGTGTAGACGTGGGTTGATCTGCTGGAACTTTTTTCTTTCTTTCTTTTTTTTTAAAAAAAAAACTTTTTAAAAAAAGGCTGAATAAGAAGAAACTTCCTATCCTTTTCGGGCAATATAATAAGCTAGAGAGAAAACAAACAGAATTCAGCAGAGGAATGGTAATTATTATATTATTTCAGATCCTGCTAAGGCATTGTCCTGTATTACTGTTCTGCACAAATATAGTTAATGTGGATATTATCTCTCAACCCCTGCCAACAGTACGCAAGTAGACAAGACTTGTTGATCGCTGTGTGTTGTTAATTAATAGTTTTTTTTTCTTATTTTGGTTTTATCTTACTATTATTCTCACACCAGGCACAATATTACCACCATTGCAAGACAGAATTGCAAGATAGAACATTACAAATCCTTTATAATTTTTTTCAGAGCTAATAATACTCCAAGGAATGCTCCTGCTCCTACTCCTACGCCACCAGAAGACGAGACAAATAAATAATAGTAATCAACGATTGATATTGATTAGTTCCTCGCACCCGATTTATCTTAGCTGAGCTGAGCTGAGCTGACTCAGCTATGTATCTAAGTTAACTTAGTTAGTTAGTTGCCCTAGACAGTACAGAATAATGCACTGATCAATGCCAAATTCTTGCTATTTGGTAATAATATTCCGGATAATTACTGCTTACTGCTTACTTTGCTGCTGCTTTTGCTTCTGATGTGCAGGAAGATATCAATCAAGCCTGAATGAATAAACGAATAATTGAATAAATAAATGAATAATGCCTGCCATGTCTGTGCATTATTTCGTTAGTTATTACCCTGCTACAAGCCGGTTAAGGCCTACATATTAATAGTACAACGCCCAGGTTCCTTAACTTCATTCAAATCTTTTACATATATACACACCTATCTAGAAGTATCCATCATCATCATGACTACTACTACTACTACTTCCGTCCTCCTCATAGGCAGCATCCCCCTCTCCTCCGCCAAAGAAGTCTTCCTCACAACCTCTGCCGCCCTCCCAGGACGCCTGCAGGACCTGCCGGACAGCGAAACCGGATTCGAAGCAACTACATCGCCTGGCAGGCGGACTGCTTCCGGAGGGAGACCCGGAGAGAGAAGCACCTGGACAGAAATACGTCTCTGGGTGTTGACGACCACGCTGGACTTTTCACACAGGAAGCTGTTAAGCCTTCGCAGTATGACACTGCTGCGCTGCAGTCATATGAGATATTTCTCAGACTGGGAGACAAGAATGCCATTCCGTCGCAGACGCGCTTCCAGGTCTGTCTCCCTTCACCAATGGCCTGTGTCCAGTGGCATGTCAAGCCCGAGTTTCATGCAACGCTAGAACCGCTCTATGAGCAGCGGATCCTCGAAGCGCTTGGTGTTAGTCTCGCAAAGATTCCTGCTTCAGATCTAGCGATTCAGTGGGATCTGTGCTTTGAAATCATGGCGCTGGAGTACGAACGGGGCAGGATCAGCGATCCGTTGTTTAAACCTCATTTCTTGTCCTCCTCCTCGTTCTTTTCAGCAAAGCACGGCATTCTGGACCGGATCAACCGTCTCTGTGAGAAGATCCCCGCTGATGTTCTCCTCGGATTCCATTTCTGCTACGGCGATCTTGGACGTAGGCACTTCGTCGAGCCGGAGGATACGGCTGTGATGGTGGATCTGGCGAACAGCATCTCCAAACGCATCAGTCGTCCTGTCAGCTGGGTGCACATGCCTGTGCCCAGGGACAAAGATGACGTCGGCTATTTCGAGCCCTTGAGGGGATTGGACATTGGAGACCAGGCGCAGCTGTATCTGGGTCTTGTGCATGCTGGCGATGAAGAAGGTACAAAGAGGAGAATCAGGACTGCGCAGGCGGTTGTCAGTCGCGGTTTTGGCGTCGCTACGGAGTGCGGTTTGGGGAGGATGCCGTGGGATGAGGTGGAGAGTGTGTTGAGGATTTTGAGGGAGGTGACGGTTCCTTGCCAGAAATATCAGTAATATTGGCAGAAGTTGTCTTATACGAGGACTAGACGAGTACGTGCAAGACTGTACTGGCGTTTCTAGCTTAGATCTAGTCTTACTTAGATATAAAATATGATTCTTAATGAAACAACGAATAATCATCAGAGCTACGGTATTACCACGGTATCAAAGTCTGAAAAAAAATGATACCATCAATATATTATTCAACAGTAGTTCTATCAAAGTTCTATCAGTTCATAATTGCTATCATACAATACACCGTAGGCATCCTCAGCAAGACGGAAAGAAACAAGAAAAAAAAATTAACCCCGAAAACACCTACTACCTGTCTAGGTCATCATAATCATGGCAATCCCAAGCTAATATCAAGCCTAATATCGGCTAGTTAATACCAATCATCGTCATCCTCCCCACCCTTCTTTCCCGTCGGGTTCATCGACAGGATCCGCCGCCCCGGGATGGTGTCGGTCGTAAAGGCCGACTCGAAGATCCCCGAGATGGCGCGCTTGCCCAGCGCCGCGAACGAGTCGTAGCGCTCGCGGTTCGTCCCCGTGCAGGCGGCCCATTCGCGCGAGGCGAACGGCGTCGTGCCGTCGCCCAGGTCGCTCCACCGCGTCACGACGATGGCGTGCCGGAAGTGGATGCTCTTAGGGTCGCTGCGGTCCTCGGTCAGCTTGATCTCGACGAGATACTCGGTCGGGCACTCCGGGCAGCGGCGCATGGGCTGGCAGTGGCCGCAGAGACTGGCGACGGCGTTGGGGTCGTAGCTGCGCCCTTTCAGCGCGTCCTTGAACCGGGCCTCGACATTCTGGAAGCCGGCCGTCTCGCGCGGCTGCGGCACATGGCTCAGGGCGCATTTGCACACGCTCATCAGCTCGCCGTCGCGCCAGTGCGCGCACACGGAGAAGAACGGCCAGTAGTCCTCGCGCGAGAAGAGCAGCATGCGCTGCGCGCTGGGCGTCAGCCCCGGCGGCGCAAACGTCGAGCTGATAACCCGCATAAGCAGCCGCCCGTCGTGGATGTGGTAGCGCGTGTTGAAGCTCCAGCCGTCGCGCCGCCAGCGCCGGGCCAGCGCCTCGGGCGAGAGGCCGTACGACGGCGAGAAGCGGTGGGCGCGCATCACCAGCTGCACAAAGGTGAAGGGCAGCACGCGGCCGTGGGCAATGCGAAGGCGCGGCGGCGGACGCAGCATGTTGCGGGCATTGGGGCAGTTGAACAGCGGGTTCAGCACATGGGCCGGCTGCAGCTGCTCGTTGCCCTCCTGCGTACGGCGGTGATACTGGGCGCAGGGGATGCAGAGCAGATGGTGTGGCAGCGAACGGTCCAGATAGACCAGGAAGCCGAGCTTATACTCGTAGTTCTCGGGGCGATTCAGCACGGCAAACGGCCGCGTGCCCAGCCGGCGATACAGCGTCCTGCTGGCGAGGGCCAGGCTGGCGGCGTCCTGCGGATTGAGATAGTCGGCGATTCTGTGCCAGAGATGCTTTGGCAGACTGGCGATGGCCCGTTCTCCGCGCGGCCGGGAATCCTCGTCGGCGGGCGCGGATGGGCCGGAGTCGAAGGGCTCCTGCAGGCCCAGGGCGTGCAGCATGGCCGTGTAGTCGCGGTTCTCGCCCAGCTGCGAGTCGAGCTGGGCATGCGCCTGGCGGTATTTCTCGCGATGGGCCTGCAGCGGCGCCATGGGCAGCGGCGGCGCGTCGGCATCGTAAGCAGCATGGCCGGCATTGGTATACGTGCTGGCCAGGCTGGTGCTGCTGGCGGAGGTGAGCGACGCAGCGCCTCGCTTGCGCAGCTTCTGGCGCGACTTTTTGGGCCGCAGCCACGCCGACAGCCCTTTCTTCTCGCCTGGGCTGGCAGACATGTTGATGATGAATTGTTGAAGATGTCAATAATCGACAGCTGCGGGCGGAGTCGCGGCACGTGGAATGCTGATTCAGCATGTGGCGGTGCAGTCGACATTCATAGAAATTACTATTCTCATTCCTCATGCAGATATCTTAACAGAAACAATACAATAATAAATTAATCTAGTATAGATTAGTGATACTTTATGCTCATCATTTATGCCGGAATCTGTCTAGCTCCCATTAGCTTCTTGCTATTTCACGCTACTTGTACTTTATTCTTACCGCATTTAAAAAAATATTTATATATATAAGGGGAAAAAAATACAGGAAAAAAAATAAAATAAGGAGTAAAAAATTATTAAAACGAAACCTATCCATCGAGTCAATACCAGGTCAATAAGCCTTTATAAGATAAGGGGATGGCAGACAGTGACAGTCACCACAATGGTAACGAACTACTACACCTAGCAATATAAATACATGTATATGATGGTGAGAACTTATACTGAGACGAGCAGAGCCAGTCATTTAAGGCTCGTATAACGATATCAGAACAATTGAAATTGAGCAAGCTCAGTAGGTAGTAGTACAATGAAAGCTGACAGCACGACACGCATAACAGTGGAATAAGCATAGTAAATCAGTCAAGACATCTGCCTACACAGACAGCTTCGCGTTCTTCGTCTCGCTGACCTCTGCAGGGCCGATGATCTCTGCGCCATCCACGACCAACGTGTCATTGCCACTGCCCGTGTCGATACGATGAGGCACCTGCGCTTCAAACGATAACTTATTGCCCTCCCTGGCAGTCGAGAACCTGCAGATTACCCAGTACGACAGCCCACCCATCAGGAAGCTCAGCACCCAGCCCAGATCGAACATGTCGGTGGCCGCAGCGCTGACCTGGGCGCCCGTGCCGAAACTGGCGACGAAGCCGGGCAGAGGCAGCAGGAAGCCGATCACAAAGGCGGCGATTCCACGGAGGTTCGCTCCCCGCGTGTAGTAGTACCGTCCGGACGGGGCCTGGCTGAAGAGATCGCCGAGATCGAGATTGCCTCGTCGCACGAGGAAGTAGTCGACGATCATGATGCCGACGACCGGACCCTGAAAGATGGAGTAGCCGCTGAGGAAGCTGAGGAAGCCGTTGGCAGTGGAGACGATTCTCCTGGTGGAATTAGCTGAATTTGAAACACGCTTAAATACAGGCGAGGCTGGAGCCTTGCTACCTACCAAGGCACAATGGCAAAAGCAATGATCAGACAGATAAACTGCCCCCGGACAATGTTGACATAACGCGGCGCCAGACAGGTAATGTCCGCCGCAAACGGGACGATATTGCACGCGACGGACGTGCCCAACGTCGCGAATGCAAAGGCTGCCGACGCAAAGAACACGCCGGCGCGGGCCTTGGACCTGTACGAGTGATCCAGGATGCCGTTCAGCAGATCGTACGGGTTCCAGAAGGCTTCGCCGTACATATTCTTCACGGCGGACTGTATACGGTCAGATACTAGACTGGCCTTTCATGTCTTGAGCCAACTCACCGTCGTGATAATGCCAAAAGCCGAACACACGGTCCCCGCCAAAGGCAGGCCAAACAGCTGGCCGTACAGCTGCGCATTGCGGGTTTTGGAGTAGCGCGCAAGATCAGGCACCGTCACGAGCAGCGCAGAATTCGCCCCCATCACGGCGTTGAACTGGGCGACCAGGCCCCAGGCGAAGATGGATGTCGTGGGTCGCAGAGACTCGTCGACCAGCTTGTCCGCCGAGACGCCTCCGTTGGCGGTCGTCGCCCAGCACACGACGCCCATGCCCGCCAGCGGAAAGACGACGGACTTGACGCTGAAGAGATGCCGGATCCTGGCCGTGTGGACCAGCATCAGCGGCAGGGTGAACACAAAGGCCAGCAGGAAGCCGACCATGCCCTGCGTCGTGATATATTGGTCTGCTGGAATCCCATTGTGCAGTCTCGCCCAGCCGGGGAAGATGCAGCGCAGACAGATGGAGATGAACTGGCCCTCGAAGTAGAGCTGCACTCCGCCTGATACACTGTCAGTCGCTGGCGCAGAGACCCGCTGGAGACGGCTCACCCCAGATGATGCCTAGCAGCGCGCGCAGAATGACAAAGAAGTACGACCCGTAGATGCCAAACGATACCCGGGCGAGCACCGGGTAGCCAACGTGGTACAGCGCAGCCGCCCTGCCGTTGAGCACGATCACCACGGCCGAAAGGAAGTTGGCAAAGAGCACGACGAGCAGGGCATCGCGCACGGAGGCGCCCAGCGCAATGAGCGAGGAGCCCACCGACCAGGTCGACACGGCCCAGGACTTGCTCCACCTGCTGTGGTCAGCTCAGAGAAATCATGTTAGATATGTACTGTACAGTGCCTACCAGTATGCGAAGAAATTCCAGGCCGTCCAGGTCTGTCGCTCCGGCGGCGACGGCAGCAGATCCTCATTGACCAGGATCGACGACGCGCTCTTCAGACGGACAGCATCGTGAAAGGCGTGCCACGAGGTCAACGCATGCTTGCATCGTGCCCAACGCGATGCAGCAGTGGAGCAGCTGGATGGTGACATCTCGACCCACCGCGACATGTAACAACCAACGCTGAAGAATCACCGCTAATGCGGTGGACCCGTCAGCGGGCATTGTCTGTGCTATTATATCCATACTCTTGTCTGCTATCTCTGGCTGAGCATCGTATCCCTTGCTCGAGGCTTATCATGCATGTCCTTGCAGCCCTTGCGCGGGATCTTGCGTGGGATGTCACGTGGAGATATCGCGGGGACGTTTTCATCAGACGAATCTGCATTAAATAGATGATAGCATGTATAACCACTGCAGATCAGTAATCTACTGAAGGACGTTTGTCATAGAGTACTACCGTGCAATGACAGCAGGCCTCGAAACCATCGACGGCGGCAGAGCCTGGTACTACTGCCCCAAGGGCAAGATGGTGCTGGGCGAAGCGCCCATCTACCGCGCCAGCGACTCGACGCTGCACTGGGTCGACTGCCTGTCGGAGCCGCCCGAGCTGTACATCCTCAAGGTCGATCCAGACACGGGGGATGCCATTGGCGAGGCGCGCGTGCTGCCGCTCGAGGACAGCGTCACGGTGGCCTTCTTCCGCAAGGACAAGCCCGGCAGCTACATCGCCGCCTACTACCAGGGCGTGTGCTTCCTCGACGAGGCCACGGGCAAGATGGAGGTCGTCAAGGAGATCATCCCGACGGACCAGCGTGACGAGCTGCGCTTCAACGACGGCGGCATCGACGCCAAGGGCCGCTTCTGGCTGGCCGAGATCGACAAGAAGGCCATGGCGTACGGCCCGAATAAGCTGCCTGAGAGCTATGGCACGCCTCGAGGGCGGCTCTGGCGGTACGATCCGGATGGCAGTCTGCATCTGATGATCGATGGGGGGATCATATGCGGCAATGGGCTGGGATGGAGTCCGGACAACAAGACCAGTAGTCTCCTCTCTTCTTGCAAAAACAAAATATCATCTGCTAATGTCTTCCAGTGTACTTCCACGACTCGGTGGCCATGATGGTCTGGGCGTTTGACTTTGACCTCGAGACGGGCAACATTTCCAACCGCCGGCTGCTGATCGATCGTCGCACGTCGTACGGCGAGCCGGACGGGATGGTCGTGGAGTAAGCAACCCTCACTCGACCTCATTCAACCTCATTCGAGTCGATCACCTAGCTAATATGTCTAGCACGAACGGCAACCTGTGGATCGCCATGTACGACTCGAACCGCGTCATGGTGTTCAGTCCGGAAGGTCGACACCTGAAGGACATCATCTTCTCGGCCAGAAATCCTGCCTGCACGACCTGGGGTGGGAGGAACTTCGATATTATATATGTGGCAACGGGGATGGACCGCCGGCCGAATGCGAAGCCGGACGATGAGGGAGGACATATGTTTCGCTTCAAGCCGACGGATGCGAGGGGGCAGCCAAAGTACGAATTTGCGGGATGATACACAGATACACGTCATATATGGTTTGAATTATATACGAAAGCTGAATGTCTCACTGAAAAAGAAACGGTATTGCCAATATATCTTCATCTCTACCGTGCCTACTATGCAACCTATCTGTTTCCAGATGGATTCCTACGACAGTAAAAAAAAAGATTTAGATAATAATGCTAATTACCCCTGAAAAAAATTATATACAAAGTCAGTATGTCTGCTTGCCATGTTAACCCTTGGACCCGCTCTTCGTTTATCATATAGAGGACGTAGTAAGAAATACGAGAGTTATGTTATCGTAAAGGCTATAAATTCTATTCTAGTTAACTAAGCAGTATATATTTCCATGCTATAGTCCTTCGTACATATGCTGGACATATGCATTTATTCTCTTCCAACCACTCAAACAAAGCTTGAAATCGCAAATACTTATTAATTGAGAATTAAGACAAACCCACCCCATACATTGATAGATCAGACACGATGAACTATATAGTTAGCGTAAACTGCTCCGTGGAACCCAACCCATGGAACCTTGGCGAGCCTATTAATTATCTATTTATATCCTCGACATTAGTGAGAACAGAACAGAACACCAGCGAAAAACCTTTTTCTCCTCTGGGTTTAAATTACTCAGTGGTATGTAAGATTACATGCATACTACCTACCTAGCTATCTATCTACCTCGGTAATATCTGCATGTAATTAAGTGGGATGGATAGATCAGATCACCCTTGCTTGCCTCTCCCCTGTACATACTTGCAACACTCGACGTTTCCACGATGCCTGTCCGTCCTTGATCATATTATAAATGAGATGGTGAATTTCATAAAAGCTAGCTAGCTAATAGCTAATGTTTATCACAATAGTCGATAGTCATTCAACATTCTTGCTCTCCATAAACTCGTCTATTTATCACCACACTTCCTTCTCCATTTAACTAACTCTCTCTACCATACATCTCCAGCCCTACCTGTAATACTCGCTCAGTCAAATCTAATTAATACGCACCCTCCCTCACCCTCCACCCCTCCGACCTCGACACCCCCGGCGCCAACCCCGGCTTCCGATACCCCGACTTCACCGGCATGCTCAACGAAGGCAACAAATCAAACCCACCACTGAGCCTGGCATCCTGGGCATCGAGCGCCCACAGCGTCAAAGCAATATAGTTTGTGCCGTTATGGTTGAGAATGCCTTCTAGGATGGGGAAGGAGGTTTGGGGGCCGATATTGTTCACTATAAACAAAGTAAATAATGTTAGGGAGGAAAGAATAATGACAAAGGGGGAGGGGGATGGGACGTACCGTATTTCCCGAATTGATACCCGTTTATGTAGAGTTGGCTTCTGTAGTTTTTCCCCTTTGATTCCCTTGATTCCCGTGGTGGTGCTGGTGCTGTTGAATACAATCTTCATCGGCACATCGTATCCCTCCGGGACATTTAGGTCAAACGTCGTCGCGAAAAACCCCACGCCCGCACGGGGTATCCCCTCCGTTACGGGATTCCTCACGCTCCAGTTCCAGGCCGGTGCCCCCGGGAGATGATACCCCTGGCGCTCGGCGTACAGGGCGCCCTCGTTCAGCGGCCCTCGCACAATGTCCCTATATTGCCCGCCGCCGAGGTTGCCGGTCATTTTCCAGATGATCTCCGTCTGCGAATGTCCTGATACAGCGTAGTCGAGGATGCCTCGCGGAAACTTGATTGCGTCTGTCCCGGGCGCTTCCTCGTCTTGGCCCATGTGGTCGATTAGCACGGTCAGGACGTACGGCGTCCCTGCTGAGAAAGTCCTTGGGAAGGACACGTTCTGCGCGTAGGTCTGCATGTCCTTATCGCCAACCCACGAGCCGGGGAACGTCTCGTTCAGCCAGATCGAGTGCCCAAAGCCAGTCCCGCCCGACACGTTCAGAAAGAGCGTGGTTTCCTCTCCGTTGGCGACGAAATGCCCGCGGTAGATCAGCGAGCCCGTGTGGTAGCCGTAGTCACCCGCGTACAAGGACGTAGGGATCGTCAGATTCCGTGGGTTGTTGGTCCAGGTCTGCGTCAGCGCTGTCCAGTTCTTGTCGTCGTACGAGGGCTGGATCTCAGGCAGCGAATCGAGATACTTCCACTCGAGACGAGACAGGCTAGGAAGGGAGAGCGAGGGCGGCTCGTAGAGTATTGTGGCTGATAATTTCCCGTTCTTCGATCTCGTCGTGTCAACGTGCTCGCCGTTGAAGACAATCTTCCTGACGCTGTCACTAGGCGTCGAGATGACTTCCACCTCTGTCGTCGCGTTGACATCCCCCGTCAAGCGTAGCTCGTCGCCAACAATCGCCGCGTTGCGGATCAGATATCCAGCCTTGACAATCACCAGCTCCTTGGAGGGCGACGTGAAGTTGGTAACCGGCTCCGGAGCCTCCAGTTCCATCACCCAGTAGTTGTAGGCGTCGTTGCGCCAGAGCAGATACACCTCGAGATCGCCTCGATCTTTACTACTCGACGAGCAGGAGTAACTTCCCACTGCATCACCCACGTCGACCCCTTCCTGCGGATCGTGACATCGGAGCCTTCGACGACAGAAGGTATCCCCAGCTCGGCTGAAAACGCCGCCTCGTGGGTTTCTCCTGCGCCACCGTAGAGGATCAGCACCCGCCCTGAGCCGGCGGTGCGTGCCCAGGTGTAGACTTCCGCAGAGGAATAGAGCAGGTTGATGCCGCCGACGTCGTAGTCGGTGACGTGGATCTTCGAATCCCGCCCGTTCAGCAAGAGAGTGCCTCCGAGCTGGGGGATCATGACATTGCCCGCGCTGGTCGACACGCTCAGCCGGTATGTCGTGTTGGCCGTTGGCGTGAAATCCGCATGTCGCACGACGTAGAAGTTGGTCTGCGTGCCGTTATTGCCAAAAAGCGGCGTGACGGCGATCGCCGCCGTCGAGGCATACGATCCATTGGCGGTATTGCCAGGCGTTGCTGTCAGATATGCCGGGGACGCCTTCAGGAAGTTGGCCTGCAGTTTCTGCTCGCTGTACTTCTCGCGCCAGATGCTGCAGTCTTCGGCGATGGCGACGCCGTAGTCGTACGAGATGTATCCGCCTTGGTAGCCCAGGTTTCCCCAGTTGGTGCCGCCGTAGGTCTGAGCTCAGTGTCAGTGAAGGCTATCAATAGGGGTGGTGAAGCCTACCATGTAGGTGTTGAAGAGCGTGGCGCCGAAAGCGTAATTGTTCTTGTAGACGACTCGCACAGCCTCCTCGTTCACCAGGATCGCGCACTTGTCCTCGCCCACGCCTCCCCTGGAGCAGTCAGCAATATTCACGCCCAAGCGTGAGAGGGTTCTTATCATCCATCTCCAGATCCTCCTTGAAACTCAGCCATAGCAAACGGCGTCGTGGGGCTTTCCTTCTTGTGAGTAGTCTGCCAGTCTTACGGAAATCGATATGTAGGCCAGACATAGGGGTGTCCGCAATCATATCGCAGAGGATAAGCATCAATCCCATAAATATCCACCCCCCCCCCCCCCCGACCGCTACCGGGAGCAAAATACCCCTTAACGAGATTATCATTAACAATAAACGGCACCACAACGCCCGCATCACGGAACTGCCTCTCAACAAACGCCATATACTCCCTATTCAACTCATCCGGGAACTCACCCCTGCTCACTCCCGGCCAGGAAGTATACTCATTCTCAGGCTGGACGAGGATGACCGGTCCGCCACCATTGGTGATCTGCGCGTTGGCAATGATCCCTCCTATCGTGGAGACATACTTCCTCGTCGCGTTGAGATAGTCCTGACTCGTCGACCGGATTGTCCCCTTTACACTAACGCAGGACCCAGCCGGGTATTTCTCCCGCGGTGGTTTCGGCATTGATATACGGGCCCGGACGAGCAATAAGGTACAGACCAGCCTCGCTCGCGGCGCGAAAGAATTCGTCTAGCGCAAAGATCCCCTCCGTCACCACATTTCCAGGATTCCCCTCCAGTAAGCCCCAATCAGTGTAGAGCGAGACGGCAGTGAAGCCCATGCTCTTGATCTTTTGGAAGATGTCCAGCCGGAGGCCTGGCACGGGGAGTCGGAAGGGGTGGAATTCTCCCGAGAAGAGCATGAGGCGCTCGTTGCGGATGAGGAGGGAGTGTTTGTCCCATGTTACCTGCTTAAGTCATAAATAAGCAGGTGAAGTTGGAGTTTGATGTGTTGTGCGAGTGTCTACTAGATCCTGTAATTGCTCCCGCTTGCTTGGGTCAACCAGATGGCTCTGTAAAGCAAAGGCCTGCCCCAGCAGCCATATTGCAATAGACAGCACCAGAGGAGAAAACATGCCCATCACGACAATCGAGGGTGATGTTATGTTCATGACATCCTCAATAACCGCTATCCGAGATCTGCTTGCTCTGTAAGTTAATAAACATATCCTTTATATAAAAAATTGGACGTCCCCCCGCACGCAAATCCATCGAATAGAATCAAGAAAAGAAACACATTCTATTCCGAACTGGACAAGCATCTAGCTTGGCCATCTTGGTCCTGCAGGCTGCAAGGTCGGGGAAGTAGAAGCATCCAGATTGGTGGAGAAAAATAATACTAAATAACTACCTAAAAAGAGGGTAAGGTTATGATTATGTGGAGAGAGTGGGATCAGCCTGACCTGACCTGACCTACTCGAAATAAAATACGGAGTAAATTTAGGTGAATACAGTTTAGGTATATACCAGTAAATAAATAAATTTAGGCTGAATGTGTTAGTTACCAGCAACGCAGCAAATAAATAAATGCAAAATGGAAAAGTAGATTAATATATGATGAATGCAGATTTGAGTGAGATTATCACTTATTAATTAATTAGTTCGTTCAGGAATAGATTATTGACTATACTATCAATTATTTGCCTCAAGCTCCTCTTTAATATAATATAATTCAGTCATGATATATATGTGTCTTTATGTCCCCTACATGTTCATCCCCGTTAAGCTTAACTTTCAACCTATCTATCTAAATTACAAAACTACACATTAAAAAAATAATAATCCTTAATGAGGGTAGTTAATGTACCCTCTCATCTTGAAACGACGGGTAATTGATTGCATTCGTCAATATCAATGACTTCCGAAATGCTTCTTGCTGTGTATGTTCAGCACAAATGCAGTAATAAATTACAGGACCACATCCGACTATTCATAGTCAATCAAACAAACATCAGTTCTTCCAAGTACATAACGGTTGTTCATGTAATCGCCTATGACTCGTCCTCGTCCCAGACCATCCGGCGCGCCGTATTCCAGTTCCTGGCTGCCTTCCTCGCTCCCGCCCGGTCGGCCTGAGAGGGCGTCTCGCGCACCATGACCGGCAGGTTCTCCAGCACCGCGCGATTCCCCTGATAGTAATGCTCCACGAATCCACCCTGCAGGATCCGACGCAGCGCCGCCAGCCGGATCCATTTCCACCACCGGTCAATGTTCATCACGCCCTCCCGTCCGATCTTCACCGAGCACTTGCTGCCATAGTGCCGATTCGTGTCCTGGTCGATCGCGGTGCTGTACATCGGCCCCCGGCGAGGGTTCTCAACGGTCGTGAGGATCGAGGCAAAGTTGCTGTGGAGATTCCTCTTGTCCTTCTTGCTGATGTGCTTGCCCGAGACAGTCGCCAGCAACTTCAGCTCGCGCTCCAGCTGCGGCGTGTCGTGGTAGGCGTCGTATCGTTTGATCAGTTTCGGTCCGTCCGGGTCCCCTGCGGAGGACACGGACGCGTCGTCCGAGCCTTCCTCGTCTTCCTCGTCCTCCTCTTGCGGCGTATAGCTTTTTTCGTACAGCAAGGCAATGTTCTCTCCTGCGGCGATCTGGACGCCGGGATCACTGCTCTGGAGCTGGTCTTTGAAGGATTCAATCGCTTCTTCGCTTTCGACTTTCCAGGTCGTCAATTTCGGTTGCCTAGAAACCCCCATTCCTGGAGGGCCGCAGTCACGCTTGCGGCGTCGTCGGGGGCGTTGATCGAATGACCGTCAGAGGCGACAATGTCCAAGAAAAAGTTCATCTGGTCGAGATGGCCGTCCTTTCCGGCGCCGCCAAAAAACGTACAAGTGCCCAGACAGTGGATGGCGGCAGCCTTGACGAGGTTGGATGTCGAGTCCCGAATGGTGCGAGTGAGGAGCGGCTCGACGTTCTCGTAGATGGTGTTGTCGTTGGCGGTGATGGCGATCAGCTCGAGGGCCCGCAGAGCCAGTGTTGTTTCGCGCACACTGGATTCGTATTTGATGCTCCGCAAAAAGGCTTTCAACAAGTCCTGGACATGGGACCGGATCTCCTCGGCGACGTAGTGGTATTTCGACAGGCGGCAGTAGGCGGACAATGATTCTTCGCGGCCTTGGACACTGCTGCGCTTGCGATCCAATATCTCCTGGATGCGGTCTGAGAGCTCTTCCGCCCAATTGGCGTTATCGGCCTCTGGGTTATCGGCCAGGTCGTCGAGCGATGTCGTACTGCAACGGAGTTAGCATGGCGATGTGACATCATCCCGAGCCAACCAAAAAAAAAAAGTGGATGAAACAGCAGCACTTACCTCCAGGCGGCATCGTCGCTCAAGTTGACATTGTCCTCGTCGTCCGAAGGATATCTGCTGGCCACACGGGACGACTGGCGAGAGTTCTGACGAGAGTTCTGGCGGGAATTCTGGCGAGAGCTCTGTGCAGAGGCAGCACGCGAGTTGGAGCGCGAGGCCTCGCGGGACTGGGCTTTGCGGGAGACGGTCTTGCCGCTCTCGAGGGCCTGACGCCGCAGATCGCGCATGGCGTCGATCACAAGATGGAAAATTCACTTAAAGAATGATAGTGGGTTGGATAATAGTGTTTTGAAAAGCGCCTCTCCTAGAGAGGACAAAAAAGCAGAGCCTAGCGACACTGCGCGGGCTCCAAAGATAAGCCGATAAGGAGTAGTGACGTGAGTGAATACTGGCGATAAGGACGGATCAGTGCGGGATCAGGGTGATGGGCTATCCTATCGGGACGGAGGGTCGCGACAAATCGACAGGACGATGATGAAAGAGATGAAAGGCCATAAGGAAGCACATCAGGATCTTAAATAGGGCACGTACTGGATGCGAACACGCGGGGTGCAGGAGTTGCGGTGGGAGGGGAATCTTTTTTCGAGGCGGCTGCAGATAAAAAGAGGGCGGTGAAGGCAGCAGCCAGCCACAGGCAGCAGACAGCGCATGTGACTCGCTGACTCACCACTCGGATTAATGATGCCCCCAGATCTATAATTATTTTATCAAGAACTACGGAGTACAGATAGGATTCCATCAGGAAATATATCACCTGGAAAAAAAAACCTGTATTCTGAACAGTAAACACTGCATTCCACCAAACCAGTCTCCCGGCAAGAACCTGTCCGCGGAAAGAAATATATCCCCACAGTGAGCCCTCGAAAGCCATCATCCCATGTAAAAAAAAATACAAATCGGAGAAGAAATAAGACAAGACAGTAGAAAGGAAACAACAACACACACAATATCCCGCCTGTAACAGGAGATTCTCTTGAGCAAATGATCTCGTCACCAGTTGCGCCATCAATACCCCACATGCACAGAACATGGAACCCAGTAAGAAGACAGACAGAATACAAACACTTCTCATACATCCCACAACATGGGGAACATCTTCACCTCAATTACACTCATCAATCCACCGGGCCAAACACTCGTCAAGAGGGACAGGTCCAATGAGCAAGACTCATCTCATGATGATTCCTTGCCCCGGATGCGGCCCCGGAGGTGCAGGGGCAATGTTTGGTCCAGGAGCAGGAGCCAAACCCACCATCCCGCTCATCGTAGCCGCGCTCGAAGAAGCACTTTTCCCGCCTCGACTGCCAGAGCTGCTGCCACCCCGGCTGTAGCCCCCTCGACCGCCACGGCCGTCATGCGAGATGATCATGCGCAGGTCTTGCTTGTCCTGCTCCGCCTGCTGACGAGCTGCTTTGCTGACGCGTGATTTGCGAGCCGTACTGCCGCCCCGAGATCCGGGTCCGCGAGCGGGCAGGTTGGTATTGGGGGAGAGGGGCATTTCGGAGTTGGATGCAATAGGCACATGATGCTGCGTAGTGGTCCGCCCTCGCCCGGAACCACGGCCTCTTCCACGGCCTCGTTTGATCGTCCCATCCGCCCTGACCGTCTCGTTAGCAATAGAGTGCAAAAAGAGGAAAACTACATTTGCAACCAACCTTTCAACCTGGACCTTTTCTCCATCGGGGACGAGCGGTCCGCTGTAGACGAAGAAGCCATCCTTACTGGCGGCGGCATGTTCCTGCCATGCCAGCTCGCTGTCATCGACAAACGGATCGTCGCGATCGTAGTCTTCAATCTTCTTCTTGCGCGTCCGTTTCTTCTTCCCGTCGGCCGTCAAGCCCAGATCCTGACCGTTGCCGGCACCGTTCACCCCAGCACCCGTGCCGCCCATGGTGACATCTCCGTCGGCGTCGCTGTCTCGATCGACGTCCACACTGAGATCTTCTTCGGCGCTTTCCCCCGCAGACGTGCCCTTGCCGCCCTTTTCGTTCTTCTCGAGAGCGGCACTGGCCGCAGCCACCCGGGCGAGCCGTTCTTTCTGGGCCGCAATCCTCGGATGCAGAGCTGCGAAGCCGTATTTCTCCTCCGCCATGCGGGCAAAGCTGATGATTTTGTTGCTTTCCCCACGGAGCGGAACATGCAGAATAATGTTGGGGGCGGATTTGGATGCTGCCGAGTTCGCGCTGTTGTCAACCCCAAAGAGGGCTCCGGTGATCAGCCCCGAACCTTGCGGCAGCGGAGGAGGGGGCTCTTTGTCCTTGGCGGTCCGTGCTGGTTTGGGGGACGGAGCAGCCGACGGAGGTGCTGTCGAGGTCCCTTTTTCCTTCTTGGCCGGTTTGGCTGAAGTCGATGGGGCTGCAGGCTCTGTATCGACCTCCATGGCCACGGGCTGCTGGAGCAGGGGTGTCTGGGCCGGCTTTTCTGGTTGAGACGGAGGTTGTGATTGCTCTTGTGGTGGCTGCTGCGGCTGCTGCGGCGGCTGTGATTGAGGGGCCGGTTGTTGCGGCGGAGGTGGTGGT